TTATTATTTATTATATTATTATTATTATTATTTATTAATCATTATTATTATTAATTAAAATATATAAATAAAAATGATAATAAATATAATAATATATAATAATAATAATAATAATATAATAATAATAAAATAATATCAATTAATAATATTATCATTACTATTATCATTATTATCATTATCATTATTAGCATATTATTGCTTATTATATATTATTATTTTATTATTACATATATATTATTATTATTACTAATGCCCTATATCATCAATCATCATCATCATCATCATTATTCATCATTTATCAATCATTATTATCATTGTTATTAATTATTTATTATATATAATTTCTTTTTAATATTGTTATCATTAACTATTACCATTATAATCACTTATCCACTCTCATTATCATTTTTATTATCATTATTATTATTATCATCATTATGATTATCATTTATTATAATTAATCATTAATATAATAATAATTAGTAAATGATAATATTAATAATAGTAAATAATAATAAAATAAATGATAAACAATGATAATGATATAATAAATATAATAATTAATAATAGTAAATAATAATAATAAATAAATAAATAATGATAATGATAATGATAAGGATGATGATGATAAATGAATAAATAATAATGATATGATTATAATAAAATAATGATGAAATAATAATAATAATAATGATAAATAATAAATAAAAAAAAAAAAAAAAAAAAAAAAAAAAATATTAATAATAATAATAATAAATAATAATATAAATATAATAACAATAATAGTAAAATAAATAATGATAATAAAATAAAATAATAATGATAATAATAATAATATAAATAATAATAATAAAATGATAATAATAATCATTGTTACTATTATTATCATCATTATTTTATTATATCATTTATTATCATTATTATTATTATTATTATCTTTATTTATATATTATATTATCATTATTCATTATTATTATTATTATTCATTATTATTATTATTTTATTATTATTTATTATTATTTTATTATTATTATTTATATTATTTATTATTATTTATTATTATTATTATTATTATTTATTATTATTATATTATTATTATTATTATTATTATTATTATTATTATATTATATTTATTATATATTATTTATTACTATCATTTCATTATCATTATCATTATATTATCATTATTTATTATCATCCTTATTATCATTATCATTATTATCATCTTTTATTATTATTATGTATTATCCTTATCATTTATTATCATTATTATTGTTATATTATCTTATTGTTATTATTATAATCATCATTTTAATATAATAATTTTTATTGTTATTGCTTATTATTAATCTATTTATTTCACTTTTTAATCATCCTCATGATATATTCCCATCTTTTATTATCATGAGTATGATTTAGTTTCTAATCATACTCATAATCATCCTCATAATATAATTCTAACCATCATTTATATTATCATGATTTATGAATATATGAATTCGATATGGAGGTAATAGTATGCGGCAATTTTCATGATTATAATGAGAAGGATTAAAAAAGTGGCAGGTGTGACGCTTATGTAAGTGGTATTCATGATAATGGAAGCATACATGAATTAGAAAAGTAGATTTCAAATGAAAGAATAGAAAGAAAGCTATGATACAAGACATAAAATACGTATATAATCGTAAATTTGTATGTCTACATGTGTAAAAGGAAATATCAAGAACATGTTTAGTCTCGTATCCCCCATTGTTATGATGACGGGGTCGCTTACACCACAAAGTCGCTCATCAACTCCACTCGCTTCATGTTTCAAGCTGACTCATAGTTTCCTTGATAAAACGGCCGTCGTAGTCATCATATATAATTGAAATAGACAAGAGGTGTTCTATGACGACCACCATGACGACCACAGAGCCTCCGGTGTCCAGATCGAGGCTGGAGATTAATTTAATTCGACTTCTGGAGGAGACGCAGCAGATGGCCAACGGGAATAAAACGAAGGATTGGAAATATGAAAAGGTGAGACGATGTTTTCGAGGTTAAATTGGAAACGAAAGCTAGGAAAATAATAATAAAGGTATTTTTTGAATTTCACACTGCTATCTTGCCTTGTAAGCTGTAACTTTCATTCCTTGCTTCAATTATTGGTGATGTAATATGTTAATCTCTTGTTTTCTTCGCAAAGAACATAAATGAAAGTATTGTTAATTGTTTGCGAAATAACACTACCCCTGTCTATTACACCAGCCACTCCTGGGGATCTGCAAACATAGCTGTATGAACCAAAAACCTTCCTAACCCAGGGGCGTTTCCCCCCAACCCCCACCCTGTTGCTGTATTTTTCTGTCGGGGACTCTCACTCTATCACTGTGAACATCCTTTCTAAGCAGTGATTGTTGTGATCTACGTTCTTCATTTCTGATGTCTTTCCTTTCCTTTACAATTTATTTCATGGTTAAAGTTTTTCCATATTATCTGGGAAATCCTGACTGTCATAGTAAAATAACCCCTTTCTCTGTGATGGTGTCATTAGATTTTCCAGTAAATGATTACCAAAGTATTACATGTTTCACAACTTTCTTATCAACAACTTATGAAAATATATCATAGATTTGAAGTGCCTTATTCACAGGAAGAATTTACCACCATATGGTTGTGTGAAACTTAAACTAAACCAAAATAAATACAAACATTGAGGGCACTCCTAACCAACCTCTTATATAATAACAAGAGTGCTCGGACACAACTACAACGTCTGGAATTCTGTCTTATGTACACCATGGTTATATTCTATATCTCAGCTGAGTGTCTGTATAATGTAAGACTTTTCACTAAGCTAAATGAGTTTTGGCCTCAACAGATAGGTTTACAATCCAATTTATTAAACCGAACCCAAGTGACAAAATGAGTCTTTTAGTAATATCCTGGAGAATATTTGCCTTAGAAGGTCATGGATGAAAAAGAATAAATCCAGCAAGGAGGATAATTTATATATCTTTATTTTTGTATGCATTGCACATAAGATTTATTAAACCTTGTAATTTGAATGTATGAGCAGAATTATTCATTTCCATTTATCCTTTTTCAGCAGGATGAGGAAAATCAGAATCCCCTTTGCAAAGCATTTATTTTTCTTTTGTTCAAGCACCTATATCAAAAAAACAGGAGAGAAAAATGAGAAAGAGAGAAATATTGGATGGTAAAGAATAATGAAAAATATAAGTTGTACTACAAATGTTACAGAAATATTACAGATGTAACTAATAAAGCCCATTTATGATAGAGAAACTGTAATGAAACTATGTAGCTCCCCGCAGTGAAATGTACATTTATATTTGAAACTGAACAGAAGGATGTTCAGTCAGTGACAGAAAATGGCAATGACTTATGTCTTATTCTGATCTTTATATGTAAATTCCATAGAAGATAGTCAGAAAAGAACATTCAGGAAACTTAGCTTTCCTAGAATATAAGGCTCATGAAAATCTCTGTTATTAGTTTTAGATTGCAGTATTTTCCAAGTGCATTCAGACCTTGATAAGCTCATTGCCATTTTCTTCCAGTGGCTGGAGGATCGGAGATTGGTAGTCCTATACGGGAGTCAGACAGGAACGGCACAGGAAGTAGCAGAGAGGATTGGCCGGGAAGCTCAGCGATATTTCTTCCTGGCAACAGTTGCTGCCATGGATGACTACCCCATAGAGGACTTCTTTGGGAGCAAACTGGTGATCTTTGTTGCTTCAACGACTGGCCAGGGAGATGACCCAGACAACATGCGGGTGTTTTTCAAGTCTCTGTGGGCCAGGAGGAAGAACAGGCAGCTCCTATCACACCTTAACTTTGGGGTGATTGGCTTGGGGGACTCATCCTACCAGAAGTTTAACTATGCAGCTAAAAGGCTCAATAATCTGCTCTTGTATCTGGGTGGGCAGCCTCTCCAGAAGATTGGATTAGGGGATGACCAGCATGATCTTGGGCCGGATTTTGTGGTTGATTCTTGGCTGAAAGATTGGTGGGCCAAGGCAATGGAACTATACCCATTCCCTGAGGGCCTAAAACCAATAGATAAAGCTATTTTGCCCATGTCAAAATATAGAGTTAGGTTTGTTGATGAAGATAGTATTGATAAGGATCAATGTGAGAAGTATGTGTATTGCCCAGAAAAGGAGGCATCACAGATGAATCCATGCATGGCAAATCTGACAATGAACAAAAGAGTGACAGCTCCAGATCATTTTCAGGATGTCAGACTTCTTGAGTTTGACATCAGTCATATAAAGAAAAGGCACATGCCTGGGGATGTCCTCATGGTACAGCCACAAAACATGGAAGAGCATGTGGAAGAATTTCTTAATGTGCTGGGATTTGACCCTGAGAGGAAGTTCTTCTTAGAGCAAAATGATCCTAACACACCTCTCCCACCTCTTTCAGTTCTCCCAAGACCATGTACAATGAAGGAGTGTGTGACCAACTACCTAGACATATTGTCTGTTCCAAAGCGATTCTTTTTTGAGCTCCTAGCATTTTTCACTACAGATGAGACAGAGAAGGAAAAGTTTGAGGAGTTTGCATCATCTGAAGGACAACAGGACCTCTTTGACTATTGCAACAGACCCAAGAGAAGCATCATGGAAGTCTTGGCAGATTTTCCGCACGCAAACAAGAACATTCCCTTTGATTACCTCTTTGACCTTGTGCCTCCCATCAGGCCAAGACCTTACTCCATTGCCTCATCAAGCCTCATGTTTCCGGGAAGGGCACAGCTTCTGATAGCAGTTGTAAACTACAAGACAATCCTGAAGCGACCAAGGTTGGGCCTCTGTACAAACTGGCTCTCCCGGCAGAGTACAGGTGCTCTCATTCCTGTTTGGATTAAACCAGGCACCTTGACATTCCCTCCTTCCGAAGCTGCACCCCCTGTCATCATGATCGGACCTGGGACTGGATGTGCACCTTTCCGATCCTACCTGCAGGAGAGGGTAGCAGCTGGTCATCATGAGAACTTGGTCATGATCTTTGGCTGTAGGAACCGCAACAAGGATCATTTCTTCCAAGGAGAGTGGGAAGGCCTGGAGACAGAGGGGAAGCTGCAGCTCTACTGTGCCTTCTCTAGGGACCAGGAGGATAAAATCTATGTGCAGCATATCATGAGAGAGAATGCCAACACTTTGTGGGATTTGATTGGTAATAAGCAAGCCTTGGTCTATTTTGCTGGGAATGCCAAAAGAGTGCCTATTGATGTGTATGAGGCTCTGACATACATCTGTGAAAGAGGAAGGGGCCAGGGACCCCAGGATGCAGAGACATACATGAAAAAAGATCTTGAGAAACGATACCAGACAGAAACTTGGGCCTAATGTGGGTGAAGCATTATTCATAGCTTTTGTCCCATTGATTATGTTATTACTCACCCTGGTTGTTATAATGGTTGATCATTTTACTCTGTCATCTAAAAGATTGTTAGGGTACATGTTTTAAGGTAGACCATAATACTGGTCTAGTATATGTAAATAGTTGTTTTTTTGTATATTATTATCCATAGAATCTGTTAGTGGCTACAGAGAAAACACTCTATGTATGTAACCACTCTGAATGGATTTTGATGTAAATATTCATGTGTGTGTATAAGAAAGAAGAGACAAGAAATAAAATCACATTTATATATGTATTTTTGCTCTTCCTGTGGATTGGGAAATAATATGATTTTAGCTAAGGGGTTGATACGATGAGAGGGTTCATTAATCAGTTCAAAAGTACAATGTCTTCCATAAGAAAACGTAATCACTAATGAAGCTCAGCCAAGCATTTCAGGTGAAATGGTATCAAAGAGGTATATTTTTCAAAGGAAAAGGAACTGAATCATATCATAGGTTTTATTAAATGTGGTTCTTGGGATCAGTATTTGGCAATTATGCTATTCTGTTGGTTATTTATTTATTCATTCACTTTTCCATGCATACATTAATTTGAAAAATCTTCAGCATTATAAAAAATTGATATTGAGTCTTAGAGCCTATTTGTTGGTTATTTCTAAAAAAAAATCCTATATTTCAATTTCTTCATTAATTTGTGTAATCATAAAGAAATAATGACAAAGATAATTGACAGATTGTAAAACTTGTGAAAAGAAAAACAATGTAGATAAATATTATTTGTTGATTATTTTGTGAAGGATAGTTTGAATAGTTGATTAAGACTTAAAAATATTGAATATCCTATTTAGAAATTATATTGCAATGATTTATGTCAAGGCATACTTATTTAATCTTTTTTTTTTCTTTTTTTAGTATATAAGATGCTAAAATTACAAAATACACAGAGACATTACTTCTGTTGATATACATTACTTTTTGTGTGAAGTAGAAAAGCGCAATATAAATTATGGATAAATCTTTACTTCTCAAAATTTTAAGCAGCAATTGATAATGATCTCTCCGTTGTCTTATATTGTGGGATGCTGTATTTAATTCATTAATAAAAGCATCTTATATTTATTGTACTTTCCTTTTCTCAGTATATAGGGTGGCTTCAAGAGAAAATTCCGGAATTGGAGAAAAGTCCAAAGTAAGTAAGAAATTGTCTGTGAATTCTCCTCCTCGTCTTCCTGCTCATTCTTCTTCCTCTTCTCTTCTCTTCCTCCTCCTCTCCCCTCCTCTTCCTCCTCTTTGTCCTCCTACACTTATACCTACACCTTATTCTTATTCTCATTCTTTTTCTTTTTCTTTTTCTTTTTCTCTTTCATATCTTATTCTTAATTTTATTTATCCTTATACTTATACTTATACTTATACTTATACTTATACTTATACTTATTATTCTTTTCCTATTTACCGTTAGTTTGAAGATTGATAGAACTGTTATCATTATCAACCCATGAAAATAAGATCTCATTTTATAAAGTTGGTGTATTATTTATTTATTTTTTGTTTTTTGAAAATTCTAGTGCACCCAATGAAGAGACTCTAAAGCACTACAAACGGCAAGTGGATTTCCTGCGAGGCGTCATTGAGGCAGAGAAATGTGTGAGTAACTGGACTTTTATTTAAAGATGAGAAAGGATTTTGCCCTTGCACGATATATTAAAGTTTTTGATTATTATAGAAGCTATCGAGAACTGCAATCAGTTGATTTAGAATGAAGGAAACTTTTAATGCTGAGAATTTTGAGAAAGATCATTGCACAGACCAGGGTAACAGCATTTGTGTCATATTTGTCAGGGAAATATTGATTTTTGTATTGTATTTCACTTATTATCAAATTAATTGTACTGCATGTCTCTTATTGTTAAGAAAAATATAAGATTTGGTTCATCAAGGAGATTATGATTTAGTAATAACTGAACCACCACCTCACAGACTAAAATAGCTACAGTTTCAGTATATTACCCCATCACCTCAAGAATTAGAACAGTTCTTCTGCTGATTCAGTAACCCTTTACTCAGAGTAAGATTTCTGCATTTGCTTTGTCTTAGTATCTAGAAATTATTAGTCATAAACCTTAGACAGTACCCTAGCATGTCAAGGTTACCAAATGTACTCTGTGTTTGTCCCAGTGTTAGAAATACTTATTCTCACTCCGATGACCCCACAGACCAAGGTGCTAGACTCAGGCACCGCAACGCAGATGATACCGCATGGACCAGCAACGACGAGCGACCACACTGTCACCCAGCAGATTCACCAACGCACACAGGCCAAGACCACCAATCGGCTACGACAAGATCTTCTAGGTCTCGGTAAGGTTTGGTGTTGGATTTCAGGTTAACAAAAGAAAAAGAAAAAAAAAAAAAAAAAGAAAAAAAGAAAAAGAAAAAAAAAAGAAATTCTCATTATGAGAGTTTTTTACGAGTATTGAATTTTCTTTTTTTCTTAGGTGCGTTTTTTTTCTGTTTTATGTGGTATGTGTGTTTTATTTTCAGTTCTCTAGCCTCACTCTGTCTTTTTTTGTCTTATCAATAAAGTGTCACCTGTTTTTCTTACTATTTCTGTCTGTCTCATTCATGATCATAGTTTATCTCTTGCTGTGTCTGTCGTTCCATTTCTGTATGTTAATCATTCCATCCTCTCCTTCCCTTTCTCCCTCCTTCCTTACCTTTCCCTCCTCCCTCCCATCCCTCTCTCCCTCTCTCCCTCTCTCTCTCTCTCCCTCTCTCCCTCCTCTCCTCTCCTCTCTCTTCCTCTCCCTCCTCCCTCCTCTCCCTCTCCCTCCCTCCTCCCTCCCTCCCTCTCTCTCCCTCTCCCTCCCTCCCTCCTCTCCCTCCCTCTCCCTCCTCCTCTGGTCCCTCCCTCCTCCCTCCCTCCCTCCCTCCCTCCCTCCCTCCCTCCCTCCCTCCCTCCCTCCTCCCTCCCTCCCTCCCTCTCTCTCCCTCTCCCTCCCTCCCCTCCCCCCTCCCTCCCTCTCTCCCTCCCTCCCTCCCTCCCTCCCTCCCTCCCTTCCCTCCCTCCTCCCTCCCTCTCTCTCTCCCTCCCTCCCTCCCCCTCTCCCTCCTACCTCTCCCTCTTTTCCTCCTTCCCATCTTCTCACTCATCCTTGTCCTTGCCTTCTCTGCCCTTTTTCCTTCCTTTTCCTCCCCTTCTTCCTTCTCTGTATTTCATCATATTTTTAAAGAAAAAAAAAGTTAAATTTCTATTTTTTGAATATACAACTGTCTCTCTTTTTGCACAACAAATCTACTGTGACTTCTTTTATGAAACTTCTTTCAATACCAAACTTCTTACTCTTTTCTCTCTTTTTATTTCAGATTCTCCTCTTTTTGTTGTTGCTTTTTTGTTGTTATTTTGTGGCTTGCAATTTGCCCTTGAGTTTATTGGCTTTCATTAACAGTATTACATTTTTCATCTCTTTAGATAATATGATTTCTAGTAGAATATGTTAAAAGTGCTGCTGATGAAATGCCAATATTTGAATACTTTAGATATAATCGAAAAGTGAGCAGTGAAATTTAACACAAGGATAGTAAATGCTATGTCAATGATGTTATCCTTTTTATTTTCCGCATTTAGAAATAGTCCAGTACATGTTAGTTACCAGTAATAGATCGATAAACAGGTTACACTTAGCAATTTTCAGATTAATTGTTAACCAGCTGTTTGTATGTAGTTTGTGTGTTAGATTTGATTTCTTCCTAGACTAAGATGATATTTATGAATTAACTTATTTACATATTTTGTCCGTTTTTAGACATTTTATTACAATTTGATTTATAATCCCAGCGTCATTTAATGCATTGACAAGGATACATGCTTTGTTTATTTTGGTTTTGCTTTATTAATTGTTTTTTACACATAGATAGCTTCACAAGAACTTAGTCACCGAGGAGTCAGCTACAAGGCGTACCTGATCTCACCGGTTTAACCCATATCTTGAATTTTAGAAAAATGTATTTATTTCTTTTATCATTGTTGTATTAATAACATTATTTTTGATACTATAATCATTCGTCCAGTTTGTTGAAATTGCAGAAGGCTTGACTCAATGAATATTCATACATAGAGACAATGATATACACAGAAATAAGTGCTTATTTCTTTGATTTATAGATAACTTTATATCTCTCACATAGATAGAGAGATGTACATTTTATTTCTGTACTTATTCTTTGGGTTGAGCCCAGCTCAGATTCAACAAACTGGCTCATTATCGTTAGTATAAAAATATTGGCAATGATAATAATATTAATGTTCAAACACTGCATTTTGAAAATTCATGGTATGAGGCTATTGGTGAAGCCAGATAGAGCGAGTAATTGGCTTCTCAGTGGCAAAGTGCTTCTGCTGGCATCTAAGTATAGAAAGAGAAAACAAAACCATAATGAACAGTTTATGTCAGTGGATTCATTTCAATATTAGCCAAAAATTTCCACAAGCAGGGCCTAAAACACACCCTGCTGCAGGAAACATGAAATTTACTGAATTTTCTTTCCCTTCCTCATGTACGTCATCCTCCTTACCCCCCCTTTTGACCCAAGACCCTGACGGAGAAAGCGAACTGCACCAGCGCAAGGGAGCCTATGGAGGAGATGTGAGTGCGGATGACTTCCAGAGAAAGATGCTGAATGATGAGCAGAAGCGCGAGAAGATGGTGGAGGACATGATCACCATGACGAGGGAGTGGAAGGAGCAGTCAAGGATCGCCAACAAGATTATCAAGAAAGACATTGATGTAGGTTCAGAGTAGTTTGGAGGAGGTTGGGATGATCTATTTTTTTCTTTCTTTCTTTCTCTTCTTTCCTTCCTTTCTATCTTTTTCTTTTTCTTTTTCTTTCTTTCTTTCTTATCTTCCTTATCTTCCTTCCTTCCTTCCTTCCTTCCTTCCTTTCTTTATTCCTTTCTTGTAGAATGTTTTTAAGTAGAATTTTTTACATCCATCATAACAAGGGGTTGCAAGGAACAGTAATAATTGATAGCATTTTAGAGTACCAAGAAGGACATAGATGGAGTTTTAGGTTTGATGAAAAGCAGGAGAGATATTTCTTCATGCTTCTCATGCTGTGAAAGATTATTGTTATTATTTAAGATAGATGGCCATCCATCTTAAAACCTTGGACTATGTTTTCCATAATAACTTTTGCTTCTTATGTAGTAATGATTGTTACTGTCAAAGACTTCAGTCTAGAAAATTTATCTTTTTGGGGGTCTTTCCGCCATTGAAAAGTAAAAGATCAAATAAGTAAACAACTTTACTAAGCTGTTTAGATACCTCTCTTAGCCAGAGATGCTAAAATGTATTGAACTCGAGAGAAAATGGGTCCAGTGTTGTGGAGTGGGGGACTGATCAGGCATTTTATTTTCTTGTCATATGTTTAATATCTGATAATAAGCATGAAAATTCTCCTTGCGAAATACAATTTTCAGACACTGGATAAGTCATCAAAGGTGGCCGACTCTAATCAGACACACCTGAAGGTCGAAGCAAACAGGCTTGCCGAGTACAACAAGCGAGCGTGTAACTTCTGGATATGGATCATGATCATCATTGTATGCTTTACTTTCATTGGTAAGTATAGGGTAATTACTTTTTTTCTTTAAGGATAGATATGTAATGATATGTTGGGAGTTTTATTTTTATTATGGTATTGATTTTAAAGGAGGTAGAATGGCAGCTTAGTTAAAGAAAATTTATGAATTATAGTATGAATAACATAATTGCTGTCTATTGCAAAGAAACACTAATTATTTATGAAATGTACTTTGTTTGATTATTATCAGTGTAACTTTTATTATTATTTTTTTTTTGTAATCAAATTTTTATGTATGGATTATGAAAATGTCTCTTCTATTTCATGTAGAAAATAAAAACTCCATGTTCTTTTTTATGCTAGTTTATATTATGAAAATAGGTCAATATAACAGAAAGGAGAGACTAATCAGTGTAATATTTTCAATTTGCAGGAATGGTAGTATTCATCAGAATTTTTCCTCGGCGTCACTAGCGAAATGCAAAGTAGCCGCTGCAAGATCGATATTGTTATGAAGTTTATATTTTTATTTTGTTACCATTAGGGTTAGAGGTTCATGTCATCCATTATTTTTTTTTTCCTATTCAAAAATGTGAAGTAGCTTTCGGTAATTACGAAAATACTTTATTTATCATAAGTTCTACTGCAAAATGAAGTAAAGGCACCGGTGCTATTTGTGTAAAGCGCTGAAACATTATATGATATATATTGTGATAAACTGCAGTGCAACATTGCTTCTGAGGAACATGTGGTAATGTCTTGACTTAATGCCATGACCTTTTTAAATAAAATGACCCAAAGTTAGGAAATGAGAATTTTATTTGTAATTCCCCCTAATGTGTTGATTAAAATGAATTAGTGGATTGTCTTTTAGTGTTAACACTTTGAAACAAACATGCACGCACGCATGCAGGAACGCAGGCACACATGCACGCATATATGCACACACACATGCACTCACTGACTCACTGACTCACACACTCACACACTTACACACTTACACACACACACACACACACACACACACAACACACACACACACACACACACACACACACACACACACACACACACACACACACACACACACACACACACACACACACACCACACACACACACACACACACACACATCACACACATATTTTCCTTTGTACTTCCTTTTTATATTTCTTTATCATATTTTTTTCAGTGTTGCAGTATTTATGTAGTATCATATTCTTTACCTTTTTCAGTATATCCTCACAGTAATTTGCTGTTGAAATATTGTTTATTTTTAAAGAAATAAAGAAATGGATTGACAATTTTATTTTATTAATCATAGGCATTATATATATATATATATATATATATATATATATATATATATATATATATATATATATATATATAATATATATATATATTTAATATATATACATAATATATATATATATATAAATTATATATACATACATATATATATATATATATATATATATATATATATATATATATATATTATATATATATATATTATTATATATATATAATAT